ACATGTGACTGCCTGGGCCTGCCCCCTGTCTGCAGACCTAGGAAACATTTGTCTCAATGACAGTAAGCTTCCTACAGATTTCGTATAAGGAATATTCTTTACGTGAGGATTTGTTCTGAAGGTCCTATTTTGCATGATTGATATTAATTAACAGGCACTAGTTAATACTCACAGTCTTCTCCATCTTCTCGGAGATACCAAGCTGCCTGCTGAGATCTTATTTTGCAGTAAATGGAATTGCTTTGTGCTCTCTTTGAAAAACACACACACACACACACACACAAACCCTAATGAGCTGCTGCTCTGTTATTTCATTTGGAATTTATCAGGACAGTTTATGTGATCAAACCACACAAGTATAGTTCTGGGTGCCAGCACTCCTCATTTCTGAAGTTTGAAAGTGATCTTTTCAAGGCAAAGCAGGAGAACATGGAAAAAAGTCTTTCATCTCAAACTTTGAAAAAGAGAAAAAATGGAAAGCAAAAAATGGAAATGTGGCACATTTTTGCTGTGGATGGTTTTTCCCCTCAACACAGCAGAATTTTCCTTATTAAAAAGATAGCTGTGTGAGAAAAACCAAAACCAGACTGGGGATGGAAGTGAGCCGGGGTGGCAATGGGAGAACAAGGGAGCAGTGAGTCTATGGGCTTGTGGGAGACCCGGGTGCCAGCCGTGGGCTTTGGCTCGGGAGGCTGCAAGCACCCAGCTTCAAGTGGGCTCTGTGCCATGGAGCATAGGTGTCCCTCAGCTTCAGAGAAGGGGTCTGTTCAGGAGAGCACCTCCTTTGTCTGCTTGGCACTCTCTCCTCGGGGCCGGGGTGTCTTGTGGACACCTCTGGTGGGGGGCCTGGATTCACTGTCAGGAAGCAGGTTTGGCTACCTGCCCCTAGTGTGGAGGTTAGCCCAGCTGCAGAGGGCTTCTGTAGCAGAGCGAGCTGGGGGCTGCTCCAGGCAGTCTGGTTGGCACTCATGTGGCAGCCACAGCAGAGTCATCAGGCCCTGTGTGGGACATGGAAGGAGGGAGCAGAGCAGAAGCGTGGTCTGGGGAGCTGTCCATCTCAGAGGAGGTCCAGTCTTCAGGCGGGCACAGCCACCAGGCACATACTGGCTGCCAGCAGTGTCCTGTGGGGTCAGGCCACAGCAGGAGTCTTTGCACTCCCTGCTCTGTGGCTGGGACCCTTTTCCATGTACTAGCCTTCAGCCCCTCGCACTGCTTTCTTTCCCAAATTGTTAAGACAGATAGGTGTGAATTCAAATCCTGATTCTCCCACTTGCAAATTGTGTGATCTTGGCCAAGTCACTTTTCCGACTCTTGGTGTCTCTTCAGCTATAAAATGAGGGTAATGATATGTGCTTCATAAGGTTCTTGTATGAGTTAAATAAGATATGCCTTCGTTCATGCATTTCTTCTTTCAATTAATGTTTACAAGCAGGTCCTGTGTGCTTTGTTCTAGATACTGGAGATTCAGCCTGTGGAGCAAGACATACTTCCTGCTCTCAGGGGTTTTAGGTCTGATGGGGAATCAGGCATTAAATACATGAATGATACAGACAAGCATCAGTTTGCAGTTGTGGCAAATGCTAACTACATACAGGGCTCAGCACAGCACCTGCCACAGTACAAGCAGAAAGTGGTTATTCTTATTATTTCTTTACAGTCTAGACTTATAAATATTTTCTATTATAGACTAATATGATACTGAAAAAAATTTCCCTGGATTCATGCAGTGTTAATTGTAGAAGATTTGGTGCTTTTGCCTCAGTTTTTGCAGTGACAGTGAAAAGCTGTTTATATGGAGGTTCTGTGCAGGTGTTGCCAAGGCTCAGGGTCTCCCCAAGTCACTGGGGCCAGGAGGCCTCCTTTGGGAGGTCCACACTGTCCTCAGCACATTTCAGCCTTGGCTTATACTCTCAGGTTCTGAGGAGTAGACAGGTGTTGGAGTGTGCATGTTTTGTAGGGGGGAATTATGAACACTCTGATAGTAAAATTTACTCTCTTACAAAGTAGTGAGTCCCCCACACCCCCAAGGTGCAATCAGGGGCTGGAGGGTGGCCTGTGGAGATGGTGTGCCCACCATTCCCCAAACTTCTCTAGGCCTCTGTTTGCAGAGCACTACTCAGGAGGACTCCTCCAGGGACCTGCCCGTCCTCACAGGGCAGCATAGGGCGAGGGTGTTATTTGAGAAAAGACATTCTCTGTGTGTTTCTGATGAACGGTGGGTAGGAACACAGGTGTTGCAGCCAGACAGACCTAGGTTCAAATCCCAGCACAATTGCTGTGAAGCCTTAGGCAGGTTTCTTAATCTCTCTGAGCTTTAGTTTTCTCCTCTTACTTCCCAGGGTTGATGGAAGGATCACATGAGACAAGGAGGGAAAAGTTCCCATCTTGCAGTAGATCCCCAGCAAGCAGCAGTTTCTCCCTCTTCACTTATTCTGCTTTTCAGTTTCTCTGTTCCTGGGCTGAGCTTTCACTCTGTCACTCTGAGTCAGCCGGGCTAAAGTCTGCAAATTGCATCTGGAATAAAGCAACCTCATGTTCCACAATGCTTCACCCCCTGCTCAGCACCAGAGGGTGCTTTTTGTTGTGGTTGAAGCAGTAATGGGATTTTCAGGATTGCCATTGCTGGATCCTTGGGGAGGTAAATGAGCTACAATTTTAAGAGAGGAGAGGAAAAACAAGGTCAAGACAAAAATAAACTGTGGATTCAAACCTACCAAACTTGGAGCTTCTATACAAGGGAAATTATTTCTAATTATTAATTTGGAAACATCGTACCACCAGAAAGAAAGGAAGTAGAAATGGATCCTGTGAGAAGTGCTAGCATATGTTTCTGTAATTTAACGGTTTCCCATAACAATGTGTAGCTATTTTAAAAGCAGACAAATGACTCATGGTATCCAGCATTAGCAGTCTACTGTGATAGCAGGAAGTGTGTTCTCCGGAGGCAGGCTTGGGTTCAACTCCTGTCTCCATCATTTACTAGTGATGTGACATTGAGCAAGTTACATATGCTCTCTGAGTTTCCTTTTCCTCCTGTATAAAAGGGGTTGTGTGGGCCGACCCTGTGGCGCACTCGGGAGAGTGCGGCGCTGGGAGCGCAGCAGCACTCCCGCCGCAGGTTCGGATCCTATATAGGGATGGCCGGTGTGCTCACTGGCTGAGCCCAGTGGTGCAACCGGTCACAAAGAAGACAAAAAAAAAGGGGGGGGGGGTTGTGTGAAAGATGAAGTATGACTCTTCGTGCAATGCTTGTTGTACACCATCCATGCAAAAACTCCCACAACTTTTGTATTAAGTATCAGGTTAATTCCAATATTTGTAATAATTCTTAGTTGTTTAGGGCTATAAATTTGCCTCTGATTACCACTTTGGCCAGAATCCATAAGTTTTGTTATGTATTGTTCTTCTTGTCATTGTCTTCAAACAATTCTAGATTTTTTCTTTTTTCTTTGACGTAAGAATTACATGTGTGCATGTGTATGTGTATGTGTGTTTGTTTTCAAATGGTTAGAATTTTTTCTATAATTATTTGATCTCAGATACATTGTAGTAAGGTCAAAGAATGTGGATAATATGACATTTACTTTTTGGAACTTATTGAGCTTTTCCTTATAGCCTTGTATATAATCAATTTTTGTAAGTATTCCATAGGTATCTGAAAAGAACTATATTTTCATTTATATGAAACCAAGCTTGTTACTTTTGTTACTATAATACTATATCATATGTGTGTGTATGTATGTATATACACACACATATATATATATTCTGTAAGAGACATGCCAAAAACTCCCTCTATAGTTGTGCCTTTGTTGAATTCACTTTTCATTTCTAATGGCTTTTTGCTTTGAGTATTTTGATGTGATGTTGCATCATGCATAGAAATTTGTAGTCATTAGATATTCTCAATCAATTGTGCTTTTCATTGATATCAATCACTCTTCTAGGCCTTGCTCAAAGTTTTCTGCCTTGAATCCTGCTTTATGTCACTTCTCCTGCCCAGCCCCACCATTATGGCTGGTATAGTGGCTGTGCTCATAGAGGGCTGCTGGAAAGACATGCCATGCATTGTCCATCCACATCTCCAGGGAGTTTGAAGTGCAGGCCTGCAGCCAGTCAGCTGAGAGCTGTGTAGCAGCTCATGCTCCACAGCCAGTCCCTCTACCCACTCCACAGCCAGATGGCTTGTCCTGAATTCTACCAGCTCATCACTGGACTGTCATTGCCATGTTTTATATCACACCTTATTTTCTTATTAAGCACCCACAGGAAAATTTTCTGTCTAGCCTTAGTTTTTTGTAGCAAGAACTGTTGTTTTTAAACTTCTTGTCAGTTAATTTATGATGTGTGTGTGTGTGTATACACACAGACAAAAAGACAAACAGCTAGGTGAATAAATAAAAAAATGAATTCAGCCCAAACACCCAAAGGGGTGTTCTGAACATGACACTTTAGACCTATTAAACTTCATTAATTGGTGAAAAACACAAGTAGCCATCCCTTTCATGTCTTGTTATAGAAAATGCAACTAGAAAAGTTACATTACAGGGCCGGCCCATGGCTCACTTGGGAGAATGCGGTGCTGATAATACCAAGGCCACAGGTTCAGATCCCATATAGGGATGGCCGGTTAGTTCAGTGGGTGAGCGTGGTGCTGACAACACCAAGTCAAGGGTTAAGATCCCCTTACTGGTCATCTTAAAAAAAAAAAGAAAGAAAAGTTGAATTACAAGTAAAGAGCCTTGTTGCTGGAGAGTGTATAAACTAGAAATGCTAAAGTCTTGCCAGCATTCATTCTGGTTGTTGCTCAGAAGTTTGATTTACAATTGAGCAGTCCATGTGAAAAATGAGTAGTAAGGATTGGAATTAAAGTCCAAATGTTATCTCAGTTTTCCATAAGTCACCATTTATGCCTTCTAGCAGAGCAGTGCTGTTTTGTGCTATTTTGTTCTGATTAATGGTGAGCTCCTACCATCATTAAATATCTTCTTTCCTTTTAGGGATTTATCTTCTGGATTTAATTTACATTGATTCTGCATATCCTGCCTCAGGCAGCATTATGGAAAATGAACAAAGATCCAATCAGATGAACAATATTCTCCGAATAATTGCTGATTTACAAGTTTCCTGCAGCTACGGTTAGTACCCTTGGTTGCTGGGATTGTGAAATCTTACAATATTGAAATTTCGGTCCAGCACCTTATCAGTGAGAAAGCTCTTTGTTTTAATATCTTGAACATCAAACATGTACTAGATACCTTACACATAGGTTTGATCTTCAAGGATGGTGCACCTAAACGTTAGTATTTCTGTATTACAGACGAGGAAACTGACTAGTCACTGTCTATCCCACATCTAGTGTGTGGCAGGGCCCAAGTTGGTCTGGCTCCTGGTCATTCATGAATGAAGAACTTTCTGGGCAGTTCCTGGGCAGTTCTCCTCCAATCAGATTCAGGGAGCAGCCTTCTTCCCTCTGTGGCTCTAAAATCTCCCACAGCCCTGGAGTCCTCCACTGGACTCTGCACCTGGCTGGCAGATACAGGAAGAGAGGATTATTCGAGGAGTATCAGCAACTGTTGGAAGAATGAATGAGTCTCAATATCTAAGGAGCATCTAAAATCAGTGATTCCAGGGCCGGCCCCGTGGCGCACTCGGGAGAGTGCGGCGCTGGGAGCGCAGCGACGCTCCCGCCGCGGGTTTGGATCCTATATAGGAATGGCCGGTGAGCTCATTGGCTGAGCGCGGTGTGGGCGACACCACACCAAGGGTTGCGATCCCCTTACTGGTCACGAAAAAAGGCAAATAAAATAAAATAAAATAAAATCAGTGATTCCTACACTTCTTTTTCGGGGCCTGGACATGGGGAAAGACTGAAGTCTCTGGGTTTTGTTCATCTTTTGCAGATCATCTCACAACCCTTCCCCATGTGCAAAAGTATCTGAAGTCTGTACGCTACATTGAAGAGCTCCAGAAGTTTGTGGAAGACGACAACTACAAGTAAGTACCCACCCACTCTTGTGTTGGTCATGCCCTCCCCATCTCAGCTGTTGCCCTCAGCACTCAGGTCCCTGGCAGGCATCCTGGCCCCTGTTGGGACCAGTGAGCAGCCAACTGCAGGGTTTATTGAAGTTCATCACAGCAGCAAGCTTGGCCCCAGCACACACAAGCACATACATGCAATGTGACCTCTGACCCCACAGCTGTGCTGTCTGAGCAGCTCCTTGCACCTGCCTCTGCCCCAGCCTTATAGGCCCCACAGTTCTGGGGAAGGTGTTGTGTTAACTTCTCAGTGTAGTTTTCTCATGTGGCATGGGTAATGTGAATTTGGACTCCACAGCGATGCATCACGAGGACTCCCTGACCCCTGGCGCTTTAGGGCAGCTTTCTAGCTGTAATATCTCCAGGACAGCAGGGTTCTCCAAGAGCCTATATCATGGACAAGACAGTTCCTTGCGGCTCTCTGTTTTCTACAGGCCGCTTGCTGTCTGGCACTGTCTGAGGCCCTGTGCAACTTCTATGGAGTAGACCCGGTTCTCATAAAGACCCCTGTGGGCCCTTTGGCCTCATCTTCCACTCACCCTGCTCTGGTTTTCAGTTCTTTCTTCATTTGTGACCTGAAAATTTATTCAGCATTTTATGTGTTTGGAGGGAGAAGGAGGATTTTTCACATCAACTCTGTCTGCCATATTGATTGGACATCTTCTTGACTCATTTTGAGCTTGATGTCAACTAAGAGTCTCCATATTTTTTTCATATGACCTGATATCAAGGCAAGTCTCAGCCATTTTGTAATTTATCATTTACCACCTAAATGTCAGCTTTACATATATTCTTTTAAATCTTATCTTACTGGTTGCTTCCAGTATACAATGATTCATTTGGATCTTGTTATCCAGTATATTTTTTACCTCTTCTAGTTTTGTGTGCATGAATTTGATCAGCCTTATTACTTAATCTTCATCTAAGTCAGTGAAAACTGTAGAGAATTGTGGCCATTAGAGACACCCCAGGTTACCTGTGATCCACTTACCAGGAGCAATCCCAAGGGGAATGGATGTTCCAACAGCGCCCCACCTGGCCAGCTCACCAGGAGTGGTTTGCAGCCCTGGCTGTAAATCAGAGTCACCTGTGAAACTTTCTAACCATTCAAATGTCTGGGAGAGGGGCTGGAAATGTATATTTTTTCAAAGCTTCCTAGATAGTTCTAATGATCTTTGGGAACACAGACACAATGTCTTTAGTTGTTATTGTATAATAATTTGTTAAAATAAGATAATATGAAATTGTGATCTATTTTTACATAATAGTAACAGCAATAGATGAAAGCCAGAAATTACCATTAAAATTACATTTACCACAAATTGAACTCATTTACAAAGCTTTTGCTATTCCTGAAAAGAGTGCTCTGGAGTGCGAAATTATTCCCACTTAGGTTCTGGGGTAATATTTTCCATTCATGCCCCAGTATTGCAATTAAAGAAACAGTAGTTTTTCATTGACACTATTATCCTTTAAGGAGAAAAATAGTCTATGAATACTTCTGACCATGAGATAATCCTTGGCCAAGCTGCAGATCATGAGTAATTACTCCTTCCATTCTGAAGGACTTTGAACACCCCAGCACTCCATGCTAAACAGTGGGCCTGGGTTTTACAAAGGCCCTTTGTTGGGGTCAAAGTAGACAAACCCAGGGAGGAAGCCTGCATTCTCTCCCCCAGTACCCAGACCATTGGAGGGATCCCTTCCCAGGGAAGACCTGGCTGCAAGTGGCACGAGATGGGCAGGACCTGTGATTCTGCTTGAGGAACCCATGTTCCACAGCCCATCTCACCCCTGGAGACTGGCTTCTAATATGGCTTAGTTATCACATTTATGACATTGCATTTCTAACACCCTGCCCTTATATGCTTTGGAGACGTTGTGCCAATAGGTCCAACCAGTGCCTTGTTTTTCTCAGCCTTTAGTCTATTTTATTTTATTCAAGAAAAATTATCCAAATTCCCACCACCTAGAATGCATGATCATTAGCATTAAGTGAACATAATTTTGGACATTTTTCTCTGCATAGAAAATTTACATATGCATAGGGAAGGATGGAGAGATGGAGGGATGCAATGATAGAATTTATTACAATTGAATCATACAATACTTGCCATTTTAATTAAAAATATTAACTTTATTTTAATTTAACCATAAAAAAGGAACTGAAATAAAACATAAGGAATTGCTTCTCTTTAAATAAATATATTTTTACCATAAGAGATATTATTTCCTAAAAGAGCCATCTCAGATTAATAAAAGAGGTCAGGAAAAACATTAAGTTTGAGCCAGTAAGTTTTCTTTTAACTAGATTTCCATTGTGAATGGTGTCAGTTGGCTCTGGTTATGAAAGACGAGAATATTAGCACTCTCCCCCTTCCTTCACCTCCACTTCACCATCTTCCAATGTTTTGTTAGTTACATTATTATTACCACATAGTCCAAGTTTATAACATAAACATCATGTTCAGGAATCATAATTCCTACTGTTTAGTATTTTTAAATGGATTCAGTTCTTATCACCTGTTGTTTCTCTACAGCTTCTTCATGCCTGGGTTCTTTATTTTAAATCAACCTCTTCTTTAGCTGA